TGGAGAACAATCTGGGTTTTAATGACAATTCTTTGGAGGAATCCTTGAGTCCCATGGCACAGCAGCCACCTCTTTGCTTTTGCTTCCAAGCATATCTTACAGCATCATTGCCAGTCTCTCTTTTTGTTCTCGGGCCTAACTCTGAAATACTTTTTCCCAGACAAGGACTGCACCTGAAGGTTGTTGCCTACCTCCTGCAGCTACTTCTCAGTCTCATCTCATTTTCCTTTTCTAGTGGCTCTCCTTCTCGCCTTCATCTTTTGTGCCATTAGTTGCACGTAATGCAAGGTGGGCTGTGTCTGTTGGTTATCTTAAACTACTCAGGCAATGTAAGGAAATCTTTACTTTTGACATGGGAAGTTGATGTTTCAAGGTTTCATTTTATGAGGAGCTGGGGCTGTTTTGGGGAGCACATTCCTTTCATACTTTAAATCAGGGGCATGTAGAGTCTAGTTTGTAGTCCTCTGACCAACTGCTGGGCAGTTTGTGGAACTATTGGGAGTGTAGACAGGAGGCACGTGGCTCCCTCCAGCTCTCTCAAGCTGTAGTAGTTCAGAAGGGCTGTTTGTTCTCTCTTTGCTTGAAATGCTGTTCCAAGTCATGTCATTCACTGAGAAGACTTTTCTGTAGGATAGGTGGGAGTAAGTATCTCTCTGCTGAACTTTCCAAAGCAACTTCTGAGCTGTTGCTGCAGGTCTTAGTTGTCCTTTCCATTTTAAAAAATGTATTGATTTCATTTCCATTTCTTCCCTTCTTCCAATATGGAATCCAAGAGATACAGCAATAGAAAATGTTGTTAACTGCCTTTGAGTCGATCCCAACTCTTTGTGCATCCCTCCACCTTTCGTAGCATTATTGTTTTTTCTAGCGAGTCATGCATCTGAAGGCAATATAGCCAAACAAAGCAGTCAGGATAAAATTATAGTACTTGTTATTACAAGACCCTTCTGTCAGGACCCTGCCTAAACAAAAAGAGGGATAGCCAAGCCTCTCATGGGAAGGAATTCCACAGTCTGGGAGCAGCCACTGAGAAGAATCTCGCAGAATCTCTGTGATGGTGGTGGGACTGAGAGGACCTTCCCCGAGGATCTTAAAACTCATATGGGCAGATACATTTTCTCAGAAAGGCTGGGTACAAGTCCTATTTGGCATTCAATCTGTTGCTCCTGGCTTCTTCTTTCCTGCCAGTGAGTCATGCCTCTGTCCTGTTACTCAGGTAGATTTTGCCCAGGGCAGTAAGAGCAGCTGTTCTGAACTAAGCATTGAAACCCAAGATAAAGACTGGAATCCTGTTGGTTTACTTACATTGGTATAACTGTGCTGGAATAGGTGGTGGCAGCAGAAGGAAAATGATCACAGGTGCATCAGGAAGGTATGAGAGAATAGGCTGCTCAGAGCCAGCAGATTTGGTCTCTCTTCCCTTGCCACCATTCCAGGAGCCTGGAAAAAGTGTTATCATCAACATGATTTTGGCCAAGAGTTGCCCTGAGAATACATGACAACGCCTCAAAAACTGCTGGGATACCTGCAGTGCTGTTCCCATCTTTCAAACAGCAATCCCCCACTGCCGCCTTGGCATAAAGGTAAAAGGTAAAAATGTGTGATGCAGTAGCTAAGACACATAGCCACCCATCGGGAAGTCCTGATCTGCCATTAAGGGTTCTCAGGTCAGAATCTTTATCCACAGATCCCAGAAAGGAGCTGGAGGAGTGAGATGGAAGCTGAGAGAAAGTGGCTCATTTACTTTCAATGATTATTTTGAGGATTATAATACCATAAATGAAGTGCTTTAAAATGTGGCCTAATTACCAATAACACAAAGAACACTGAAAGTCATGGCAGGCATCCTGTTGGTGTTTTATGTGTACATATGTTTCCTTACACCCACTGGGTGACTTGGGCAAGTCACACACTCTCAGCCTCAGAGGATGGCAATGGCAAATCCCCTCTGAAGGAACTTGCTAAGAAAACACCATGATAGGCTTGCCTTAGGGTTGCCATAAGTTGGAAATGACATGAAGGCACCCAACAACAAATGTTCCCTTCCAAGTGCAGTGTATATCCTTTTGGCTGTGATGTAACATCCATATTCAGTTGATGGTTGCATAAGCAGAGTTCTGCAGGTGTAACTTCTGCACATGCAGTTACACATTCTTGGATGGCGCATAATTGCTCATCCTTGCCTTCAAAGTCCCATTTGATTCTCGGATTGTGAAAGCGGGATGTTTGGCACAGCTGAGTGCAGTGTTGATATTCGGCAGCAGGGTGTTGTAGTGCAACCACCACTTGACTGTATAAATATAGAGTTACATTGTGCAAGAATGGTATAGGATCTCAGGTTATGTCTTTGCTTAATTGATGATGGCAGAGGATGAAGCCTTAATTCTAAGAGGTATCAAGGGGATGGAGAGAAGGTTTCTAGGAGTGGCCAACAGTGAATGCTAATGTGAGTTGGCAAAAGCATTTTGTTCTGCTGTCTTGCGCCGTTAGAGGGCATTCTATACTCTCAATGCACTAAATTTCGATGGACTCGAAAGCAAACCTTGATTAATTTCTGCTCTAGTTATCCTGGGAAAATGCCACTGCTGATTTATGGCTTTAATAAAGCAGTTTTTTTGACAGCATCTAAGAATGTCTCATCCCTGAGCACAGGTGAAGGAAGAATGAAATCATTCTTGGGTTTTTTTCCCCCCTTATAGAATGAAAAACCCACAAGGTAACAGGCCCTGCAGTAGTAGTAGTAGTAATAATAATAATAATAATAATTTTTATTTTTATCCCGCCCCTCTGCAGCGCAAAAGTAAGTTGCGATTTGAGTACCACACAGAGCTTGAGTCTACAGATAAAGCAAGATATAATCTGCCTCTGGACAAGCAGTTTGTAAATCTGGAGCCATAGGCGAACCCAGGTCAAACAGTCAATGGGGTTTGGAGCCCCATTTGCTTGAATGTTGCTGAATCAGCAGAGGCTTCAACCCAAAGAGTCAGAAGGTCTGAAAGACAGGAAGGATGATGCCTAGTAAATAAAGTACATGAGGTATCCTAGCAAAGGTGAGGAATGGCACCTGGTGATAAGAACCTGGCTCTGACAGGGCTCAACAGGAGGAGACAGGCAGACTTCAAGATGGAACTGGTGAAGTTTTCAAGCCAAGCTGAGAAGAGTTTTGCAGCTCCTGCCCTTGATTTTCCTACCTTTCATGACCCTACAAAGAAGAGGAACATTTTGGAGGTTCAGATTGTTGTTAACTGCTTTCAAGTTGATTCAGCCTATGGCAACCCTATGAATGAGAGGCTGCAGCTTCCTTGATTGAGTCTCTTCATCTGGGATGCAGTTTTCCGCTTTACCTACTGCCTTCTACTTTGCCAAGCATTATTGTCCTTTCCAGTGAGTCCTGCCTTCTCAGGATGAGGCGAAAGTATGACAGCCTCAATTTAAGGCCTTTGCAGACTGCCAGAAATAGTGCAAATTGAGTCCACTTTAACTGCCCTGGCTCAGTGCTAGGGAATCATGGGAATTGTATTTTTTTTTCTGAGACATTGAGCTTTCTCTGTCAGAGAGCTCTGGTGCCACAATAAACTACAGTCCCCATGATTCCCTAGCCCTGAGTCAGGGCAGTTAAAGTGGACTCAATTTGCATTATTTCTGGCAGTCTGCAAAGGCCCTTAGTCATCTTGGTTTCCAGGGAGAGGTCAGGCCTGATTTAATCTAAGATCCATTTATTTAGCTGTGCTCACATTTGTACTCCAATGGGTAAAGCTGAACCAAGGATGAGGGCTGTAAATGCACAATTTTAATTGCAATAAATCCAATAGTTTGTTGTTCTCAGTGTGGAAACTGGAAAGTTCACATAGGCCCAAATTACAATAAAGGAAAAGGCAAGCAGCTCAGTGTAGCAGATAAGCCGAAGCAATGTGACTGTAAGGACAATAATAATACTGTAGTGCAAATAAAAGAACTACAGCTCAAAACAATTGACAAAACATCCATTAATTATGGTAAATATTTTGAATGAGATTATATTATCAAGCTCTGCATTGCATCTTTCTAATACTTCTTCCAGGCACCGAAGCATCCCAGCTTTTTTTTAGCTGCCTTAACAGCACTGCATTTTAAAAAGGGATCCAGAAAATTAAAGGTTTGTAAGTTTAATATCTGTTGTTCCTCATACATTGGTGGGGAGTGTTACTAAAGATAGCATTAACAAGTATATGGAGGGACAAATTTCCTTGAAAAAGAATCCCCATACTTCTTGGCAACATTATGTTCTCTCTCACTCGCCATTCAGAGTTTTTTTGAAAATATCAACAAACATGCAGACAGAAGATCACTTGCAACTTTCCTTTCCAAAGGTTTTTGATGATGATGGTGATATTTCTTACCTGCCTCTCCCTATAGATCAGTGTGGGAAACAGGAATGAATTAGACACATAAGAAAAGAGCACAGAGAACCAATACAATGGACAGGGTATTTTAAGGCAACGAATACATACTCTAAAATAGTTTGCTAAAAATTATCTGGGTAGGCCTGTGGGAAGACACTAGTCTTTACAGCCATTTTAAACTCAGCTGTTGAATCTCCTCTGGCAGGTCATTCCACAATTTGGGGGCAGCTGAATATCCCCTGGGTAAGAGTTGTCAGCCTAGTTTTGCCGACTGAAGTAAATGCCCCCAGAGGACCTGAGGGTAAAGGGCAGATTATATGAGAGAAAGTGATCCTGTAGAGCAGGGGTAGGCAACCTTTCCCCTTTAAGGGCCGAGGGACTTCAGCTCCCAGAATCCCAGGAGCTATTGGCCAACATGGGACTATTGGCCAACATGACTGAGGCTTCTGGGAGCTGAAGTCCCTCAGCCCTTAAAGGGGAAAGGTTGCCTACCCCTGCTGTAGAGTAACCTAGACCCAAACCATGTAGGGCTTTATAGGTGGCAACCAACATTCAATCTTGCTAGGAAACTAATTGGCCAGAATAACTTTCATATTGGTGTTGTACGATCACTAGAGAGCCAGCATGGTGTAGTGGTTTGAGTATTGGGGCTATGATCCTGAAGACCAGGGTTCAAATCCCTGCTCAGCCACAGAAACCCACTGGGTGACTTTGAACAAGTCACACGCTCTCAGCTTCTGAGAGAGGCAAAGGCCAACCCCCTCTGAACAAACATAAGTCCGAAACAACTTGAAGGCAACAACAACCATAGCACCACTCTTGTATGCACTAGTAACCAATCTGGCTGCCATGCTTTGAACTAACTGAAGTTTCTGAACTTGGTACAGAGTTAGCCCAATGTCCGGCGCATTGCAGAAGTCACCTTGAGATTGCCAGTGGCTTATCTTTATATCCTCTACCTCAAGGAAGGAGAGCAGCTGGCTTTTGACAACTGATGCTGCAGCTATCTGGACTGTCATTTGGAGTGACGGATCCAGAAACACCTAAGTTGTGAACATAGTCTTTCAGGGAATATAGGCTCATCCAGGGCTGGTTGACAAACCTCCAAACCCAGGTTAGGATCCACAACAGTACTTCTTGTCTCTGTCTTGTCTGGATTCAGCTTCAGTTTGATTTTCCTCATCCAGTCCATTGCCTTCTATAAGCATTCATTCAGGGGATATCCACACTAGCCTTAGCTGATGCTATTATCATATGTATTACATATTTGCCTAAGAAAACCCTATGAGATTCATAGGATCGCCCTAAGTCGACAGGTGGCCTGAAGGCACATACACAGAGAGGAGTATATTTGGGTGACAAGGTCCTTCACCAAACCCTGTTTAAATATTTGAAGGGGTGTCATATTGAGGATGGAGCAAGCTTCTTTTCTGCTGCTCCAGAGGATAGGACTAGGAACAATGGATGCAAGCTACAGATTCCACCTCAATATTAGGAAGAACTCCCTGACAATAAGAGCTGTTGGACAGGGAAGACACTCCCTCGAAGGGTGATGGAGTCTCCATCTTTGGAGGTCTTTAGAACAGAGGCTGGATGGCCATTTGTTAGATGTGCTTTGATTGTGTGTTCCTGCATGGCAGAAGGGGGTTGGATTGGATGGCCCTTGGGGGTCTCTTCCAACTCTTATGATTTTATAACTCCTGCACAAAGTTAGCTAATACAGGATGAGAAGTCCTTTTATGGACTGATAACTTATTTAAGAACAATTTTTTTTAAAAGTTACTTTTCATAATAGAAGAATGCAAACTTTTTGCTTAATGGGGACCCCTCAAGAGGAATCCCTTTAAGATTTCTATTGGGGACAGTGTTTTTTAACTTGTTGACACATAGTTTGGAATTAGGAGTGATTTCAGAGGTAGGGAAGTTTACCAGCAGCACCACCTGAGTTAGGATGGTTGGAACAAAGTTAGGTTAAGAGGGGCTCTAGAGAAGGAGGGCTGGGCATCAACCTGGAAAATGTGGTTTAAAGAGTAAGCAATGTAAAAAGGTTCACTTACACTTCTCTTTAAGATTTCAGTTTTTGCTGGCAGTGACCAAACAAGGAAGAGACCTTGGGGTTATAGTGGAAGGCTTGAAAATGTTGATCCATAGTCTAGTTGCTATTTTCAGAGAGTAGGAAGAAGGGATCTCCATGTTAGGTATAATTAGAAAGTAAATTCTATGGAAGGAACCTCAATGGCCATCTGTTCAATCCCCCTGCCATGCAGAAATCCACAACTAAAGCCACCTGAGAGCCCACCATCCAAACTCTGTTTAAAGACCCCCAAAGAAGGAGAGTCCACCAATTTCCAAGGGAGTCCATTCCACTGTCATCTTGGTATCATTGCTCATGATGAGAATCTCTTTTCTCCTTTGAATTTGATGGTTTGTGTGTAGATTCTGGAGAGCAGAAAACAAGTTCACATCGTCTTTTGCATGACATCCCTTCAGATATCTAAAGACGGTTGCATCATGCCACCTCTCAACCTCCAAACCAAACATATTTAGTTTCCTTCGCATAAACACTCAGGAATTAAATTACAACAGGAATTAAAACAGGAATTTGTGGATTAATCTGTGCCTTTATTCAAATACATGGTTCAAGCATCCTTGGGAGTGCTGTGCACAGTTCTGTCCACTGCAGCTGGAAAATAATGTTGCAAAACTGAACATTGCAATCCAAATGACCGAGAGACTGGAGCCCTTTTGGACAAAGCTTATGCCATTTGCTGTTTTTTGGCTTAGAAAAAAAGGCAAGGAAAGGGAGATGAAAAAGCGCGTACAGTTATGCAATGGTGTGGGGGAAATGGGGAGGGAGAGGTTTTTCTCCGTTCTTATAGCCCAGTGGAGCCATCCACTGCATGCAAATAGTGGGACAGAGAAAATAAAATCCTCCTCCATGCAGTGCAGAGCCAATTTGAGATTTGCTCTTTTGTGGTGCAGTGAGGAAGGCTTTTAAAATGAGATAGCTTTCAGAGCAAGATGAAGCAAGATTGGAGGGAGAAGAGAAAGGGTTGTAGAAGCTGTCATATTCTGCTGTCGACTGTATATAGAAAATACTGGACCAGACTGGCCTTTAGCCTAATCCACCACAGCTTGTCTTAGGCTTGTGAAGTTAAAGAGAAATTTGTTACTGGGTGCAATGGATGCAAGGACCCCTCTGTCTCCAACAGAACAAAGCAAACAGCCACAGAAGGACAGAAGGATGAGTCTCAGGAATACAGAAAATAGTGGGTGAAATTGCACATGAGGGCATCAGGCATGATCAGAGATATAATTATAGAGATAAAATTCCTGGCAAACAGGAGATGTCACAGCAGATTGGAAGAGGGCAAATGTTGTCCCCATCTTAAAAAAAAAGGGGGGGGGAAAGAGGACCCAAATAATGACTGCCCAGTCAGCTTGACATCAATACCAGGAAAGATTCTAGAGCAGATCCTTAAACAGACGGGTTGTAATTACTTAGAAAACAATGCTATCATCGCTAGGAGTCAACACAGGTTTCTCAAAAACAGGTCATGCTAGACTAATCCGATCTCTCTTTTTATAAAAGTTACAAGCTTGGTAGATGAAGGGAATGCAGTGCATGTAGTATATCTTGATTTCAGCAAGGCCTTTATCATGGTGCCCTATGCCATCCTTGCAAAAAAGCTGGTAAAACGTGGGCTAGACAATGCAACTGTCAGATGGATTTGTAATTGACAGACCAACGAAATCCAAAAGGTACTCAACAATGGCTCTTCCTCAAGCTGGAGAGAAGTGACCAGTGGGATTCTTGAATTTCAGGACTGGACATTGTATTCCAGATGAGGTCTGATAAAATCAGAATAATCTGGACACTGTACTTTGGTTGCTGAAGCCCAGATAAATTTCGGGAGGCTCAGTCTCATCCAAGAATTTCACTACTTCCACACTGTTGATCAGTTCTTCCCTCTAGGCTAGAATCAGATCCAAGATAGCCCATCCATCCCCTTATTGCTTTCTCTGCCTTCTGGATGCTGAAATTGTCAGCAAAGCAATGGAAGAATGTGTTGGACATTACATTCTTCTAAGAGTTTGACTTCTAAGACATATCAGAGTAGCTGATGTCTCTCATTATCCCTTTGTCTCTCCTTTTTGAATATTTGGCCATCAATACATGTTAATCTACCAGGCCCAGGAAGATCTGAGATGTATGAGAGCAGAAAGTGGGTCAGTATGGGGTGCTTGTGTGGATGAAACCACTTTCCAAACACTTTGTGAACTGACAGGGAGCTCCATTAAATCCTGACCAAAGGACACAAGAGATCCAAGGTTGACCTTAGAATAACATTGTTAGATATTTTGGAATCTTAATAATATTGTTAGATATTTTGGAATCCCAAAGGACCCATACTGTTGGGTGAGTTTGTTGCACGTTCTCCATGGCTTTTCTTTCCTTTGTTCTAGCTTTGTAGCAGACTGCCAAAGGCATCTCAACCAAGGTAAACCAAATTAGGTCTTTAATCTCTTGCCTACAAGTCAGCTCTGTAATCCTTTTAAGAAGGAATCAATCCATTCTTCATGCATTTATTTATCTGTGTATTTATAATCGGCTTTCCAATTCACATAAGCGTCCGAAGTGGAAAACAGCACTGAAAACTGAAATTATATGTTTATTCTCTCCATGAGCCTTGCTTCCACAAGCCCCAGGTTCAGCAAGGAAAGTTTACTGAAAAAGGTCTGAGGGTTATTTTTTTTAATTTATTTTATAAAATATTTTATACCACCCTTCAACGTAGACTGCAAGAGTGGCGTACAAAATGGAACCAAAAATCCAGTGTAATATAATAATAATAATA